GTACTGGTGTTACAGTCAACATGTAGTACTAGTGTTACAGTCAACATGTAGTACTAGTGTTACAGTCAACATGTGGTACTGGTGTTACAGTCAACATGTAGTACTAGTGTTACAGTCAACATGTGGTACTAATGTTACCGTCAACATGTAGTACTAGTGTTACAGTCAACATGTGGTACTAATGTTACGTCAACATGTAGTACTAGTGTTACAGTCAACATGTAGTACTAGTGTTACAGTCAACATGTAGTACTAGTGTTACAGTCAACATGTAGTACTAGTGTTACAGTCAACATGTGGTACTGGTGTTACAGTCAACAGGTGTTTAGGATGAGAGGGACCCAACACAGCATCACCTGACACTGTGAAACTCATTATACTTTATGTCAGGCGAGTTCCTTACAAGTTGCAAATTTTGTTACCAAACTCTCAGAATGTTTTGTTTTTATAGTGTAAGTCTCTGTATATATTGTATAGTGTAAGTCTCTGTATATATTGTATAGTGTAAGTCTCTGTATATATTGTATAGTGTAAGTCTCTGTATATATTGTATAGTGTAAGTCTCTGTATATATTGTATAGTGTAAGTCTCTGTATATATTGTATAGTGTAAGTCTCTGTATATATTGTATAGTGTAAGTCTCTGAATATATTGTATAGTGTAAGTCTCTGTATATATTGTATAGTGTAAGTCTCTGTATATATTGTATAGTGTACTGTAAGTCTCTGTATATATTGTATAGTGTAAGTCTCTGTATATATTGTATAGTGTAACTCTGTATAAATTGTATAGTGTAATTCTCTGTATATATTGTATAGTGTAAGTCTCTGTATATATTGTATAGTTTAAGTCTCATATAGTGTATAGTTTAAGTCTCTGTATATATTGTATAGTGTAAGTCTCTGTATATATTGTATAGTGTAAGTCTCTATATATTGTATAGTGTAAGTCTCTGTATATATTGTATAGTGTAAGTCTCTGTATATATTGTATAGTGTAAGTCTCTGTATATATTGTATAGTGTAAGTCTCTGAATATATTGTATAGTGTAAGTCTCTCTGTATATTGTATAGTGTAAGTCTCTGTATATATTGTATGTGTAAGTCTGTATATATTGTATAGTGTAAGTCTCTGTATATATTGTATAGTGTAAGTCTCTGTATATATTGTATAGTGTAAGTCTCTGTATATATTGTATAGTGTAAGTCTCTGTATATATTGTATAGTGTAAGTCTCTGTATATATTGTATAGTGTAAGTCTCTGTATATATTGTATAGTGTAAGTCTCTGTATATATTGTATAGTATAAGTCTCTGTATATATTATAGTGTAAGTCTCTGTATATATTGTATAGTGTAAGTCTCTGTATATATTGTATAGTGTAAGTCTCTGTATATATTGTATAGTGTAAGTCTCTATTATAGTATAGTGTATATATTTAGTGTAAGTCTCGTATATTGTATAGTGTAAGTCTCTGTATATATTGTATAGTGTAAGTCTCTGTATATATTGTATAGTGTAAGTCTCTGTATATATTGTATAGTGTAAGTCTCTATATATTGTATAGTGTAAGTCTCTGTATATATTGTATAGTGTGTCTCTGTATATATTGTATAGTGTGTCTCGTATATATTGTAGTGTAAGTCTCGTATATATTGTATAGTGTAAGTCTCTGTATATATTGTATAGTGTAAGTAGTCTCTGTATATATTGTATAGTGTAAGTCTCTGATATATTGTATAGTGTAAGTCTCGTATATATTGTATAGTGTAAGTCTCTGTATATATTGTATAGTGTAAGTCTCTGTATATATTGTATAGTGTAAGTCTCATATATTGTATAGTGTAAGTCTCTGTATATATTGTATAGTGTAAGTCTCTGTATATATTGTATAGTGTAAGTCTCTGTATATATTGTATAGTGTGTCTCTGTATATATTGTAGTGTAAGTCTCTGTATATATAGTGTAAGTCTCTGTATATATTGTATAGTGTAAGTCTCTGTATATATTGTATAGTGTAAGTCTCTGATATATTGTATAGTGAAGTCTCTGTATATTGTATAGTGTAAGTCTCTGTATTTGTATAGTGTAAGTCTCTGTATATATTGTATAGTGTAAGTCTCTGTATATTTGTAGTGTAAGTCTCTGTATATATTGTATAGTGTAAAGTCTCTGTATATATTGTATAGTAAGTCTCTGTATATATTATAGTGTAAGTCTCTGTATATATTGTATAGTGTAAGTCTCTGTATATATTGTATAGTGTAAGTCTCTGTATATTGTATAGTGTAAGTCTCTGATATATTGTATAGTGTAAGTCTCTGTATATATTGTATAGTGTAAGTCTCTGTATATATTGTATAGTGTAAGTCTCTGTATATATTGTATAGTGTAAGTCTCTGTATATATTGTATAGTGTAAGTCTCTGTACTGTATATATTGTATAGTGTAAGTCTCTTATATATTGTATAGTGTAAGTCTCTGTATATATTGTAGTGTAAGTCTCTGTATATATTGTATAGTGTAAGTCTCTGTATATATTGTATAGTGTAAGTCTCTGTATATATTATAGTGTAAGTCTCTGTATATATTGTATAGTGTAAGTCTCTGATATTGTATAGTGTAAGTCCTGTATATATTATAGTGTAAGTCTCTGTATATATTGTATAGTAAGTCTCTGTATATATTGTATAGTGTAAGTCTCTGTATATATTGTATAGTGTAAGTCCTGATATATTGTATAGTGTAAGTCTCTGTATAATGTATAGTGTAAGTCTCTGTATATATTGTATAGTGTAGTAAGCTCTGTATATTGTATAGTGTAAGTCTCTGTATATATTGTATAGTGTAAGTCTCTGTATATATTGTATAGTGTAAGTCTCTGTATATATTGTATAGTGTAAGTCTCTGTATATATTGTATAGTGTAAGTCTCTGTATATATTGTAGTGTGTCTCTGTATATATTGTATAGTGTAAGTCTCTGTATATTGTATAGTGTAAGTCTCTGTATATATTGTATAGTGTAAGTCTCTGTATATATTGTATAGTGTATGTAAGTCTCATATATTGTATAGTGTAAGTCTCTGTATATATTGTATAGTGTAAGTCTCTGTATATATTAAGTGTAAGTCCTGTATATATTGTATAGTGTAAGTCTCGTATATATTGTATAGTGTAAGTCTCTGTATATATTGTATAGTGTAAGTCTCTGTATATATTGTATAGTGTAAGTCTCTGTATATATTGTATAGTGTAAGTCTCTGTATATATTGTATAGTGTAAGTCTCTGTATATATTGTATAGTGTAAGTCTCTGTATATATTGTATAGTGTAAGTCTCTGTATATATTGTATAGTGTAAGTCTCTGTATATATTGTATAGTGTAAGTCTCTGTATATATTGTATAGTGTAAGTCTCTGTATATATTGTATAGTGTAAGTCTCTGTATATATTGTATAGTGTAAGTCTCTGTATATATTGTATAGTGTGAAGTCTCTGTATATATTGTATAGTGTAAGTCTCTATATATTTTCCGGTTTATGTTGTACTCCCATGATATTGTGATCTACTCTCTCTCTCTCTCTCTCTGAGGACAGGTGTGTGACTCTAAGCTCGTTTGGTTCACAGGTGTTTTATGTGTTATGCCCTTCCCTCCTCTCTTCTTCTCTTCCTTATCATCCTTTCTTCCTTCTTCCTTGTTCTTGATTACTCTTCAGGGTGGTGGTGATAGTTGTGATGGTGGTGGTGTTGTCGGAGTGTGGTGTTGGAGGGTAGTGATGGTGTAGGAGGTGGAGTGTGGTGGCGGCGGCCGGTGTTTGAATAAGGAACACTTTGCATGCAACGCCCCCCGGCTCACAAGACCTCCCGAGTCTCCTTCCTGTTATTCTTCTATGACCGCTATCCACCTTACTCCTCCTCCTCTTTTGCATATTACAGTCTTCTTCTTCTTCTTCTTCTTTACGTATTTTTGTTTTATTTTGGAAGTCTCTCTCTCTCTCTCTCTCTCTCTCTCTCTCTCTCTCTCTCTCTCTCTCTCTCTCTCTCTCTCTCTCTCTCTCAGTCTCTCTCTCTCTCAGTCTCTCTCTCTCTCTCTCCTTCCTATGTGGAGTCCCTCATTCTGGTGTGTGGTGGTCCCTCCTTCTGGACGTTTCTCCTTCTTGACGTGGTGGTCCCTCCTTCTTGACGTGGTGGTCCCTCCTTCTTGACGTGGTGGTCCCTCCTTCTTGACGTGGTGGTCCCTCCTTCTTGACGTGGGCTCTGGCAGGCGGCGTGAAAGTCTGCCACCTGTCATAGTGTGACTTGAAGGAGGAGGAGGAGTCGCGACACTTTACTGGCATGAAGCCTGAGAGAAGTGCGACTCAGCCTTCCTCACCCTCTCACTCACCCTCATCTCTACCTCTGCCTCATCTCCTACTCTCCTTCAATCTCTCCTCTCCTATACCTCTCTCCTCTCTGTCCTTCATTTTCTTCAAATTCGCCCTCTCTCCCTCACGCCTTTCCCCTCACTCATCTACCTCCCTCTCACCCATCTCCCTCACCCACCCACACCTCCCTTACCTTCTTCGTCTCCCTCCTCTCCCCTCACCTCTCTCCCTCACTCCTCTCTTTCACCGGCAACTCTAGTCTATCTACTTACACCTCTGTATCCCTCTCCTCTCCTCTTCACCTTCTCCCTCTCTCCCTCACTTCTCCCTCTCCCCACCTTTCTCCCACACTTCTTTCCCTAACCATCGTCTCTGAGCCTTGGTGACATCTTACTTGTTAGGTTGTGAGTCCTAACCTAACCTAATCATCTTAATAATGAATAGTGAATGTTATCTTGCCGCTCCACCGCCTCAAGGTGAAACTCGGAAGGTGAAACTCGGAAGGTGAAACTCGGAAACGGAATTGTGTCGGTGGATCTATTATTTCGTGAAACTCGTTAAGAAGAGACAAGACTGCCATCATCATCATCATCATGATCATCATTATTAGCGGTGAAGTGACCTTGGTCGTGGTGATGGCAGGAAGTCCAACATTCCCACATGCCTCTCTCAGTGCCGGGGTGCCTGGTGCCTCTCTCAGTGCCGGGGTGCCTGGTGCCTCTCCGTGCCGGGGTGCCTGGTGCCCTCCCCAGTGCCGGGGAGCCTGGTGCCTCTCTCAGTGCCGGGTGCCTGGTGCCTCTCAGTGCCGGGGTGCCTGGTCCCTCTCTCAGTGCCGGGAGCCTGGTGCCCTCCCCTGCCGGGGTGCCTGGTGCCCTCTCCCAGTGCCGGGGTGCCTGGTGCCCTCCGTGCCGGGGTGCCTGGTGCCCTCTCAGTGCCGGGGAGCCTGGTGCCCCTCAGTGCCGGGGTGCCTGGTGCCCTCAGTGCCGGGGTGCCTGGTCCCTCTCTCAGTGCCGGGGAGCCTGGTGCCTCCCCAGTGCCGGGGTGCCTGGTGCCCTCCCCAGTGCCGGGGTGCCTGGTGCCTCCGTGCCGGGGTGCCTGGTGCCCCTCTCAGTGCCGGGGAGCCTGGTGCCTCTCCAGTGCCGGGGTGCCTGGTGCCCCCAGTGCCGGGGTGCCTGGTGCCTCTCAGTGCCGGGGAGCCTGGTGCCTCCCTCAGTGCCCGGTGCCTGGTGCCCCTTCAGTGCCGGTGCCTGGTGCCCCTCCTCAGTGCCGGGGAGCCTGGTGCCTCCCCAGTGCCAGGGTGCCTGGTGCCTCCTCACTGCCAGGGTGCCTGGGCCTCCCTCAGTGCCGGGGGGCCTGATGTCTCAGTGCCGGGGTGCCTGGTGCCCCCAGTGCCGGGGAGCCTGGTGCCTCTCCTCAGTGCCGGGGTGCCTGGGGCCTCTCTCCAGTGCCGGGTGCCTGGCCCCTCAGTGCCGGGGTGCCTGGTGCCCCCTCTCAGTGCCGGGGTGCCTGGTGCCTCCCCAGTGCCGGGGTGCCTGGTGCCTCTCAGTGCCGGTGTCTGGTGCCCCAGTGCCGGGGTGCCTGGTGCCTCTCAGTGCCGGGGGTGCCTGGTGCCTCAGTGCCGGGGAGCCTGGTGCCCTCTCAGTGCCGGGTGCCTGGTGCCTCCTCAGTGCCGGGGTGCCTGGCCTCAGTGCCGGGGTGCCTGGTGCCCCCTCTCAGTGCCGGGGTGCCTTGTGCCTCCTCAGTGCCGGGGTGCCTGGTGCCTCCTCAGTGCCGGTGCCTGGTGCCCTCAGTGCCGGGGTGCCTGGTGCCTCTCAGTGCCGGGGAGCCCTGGTGCCTCCTCAGTGCCGGGGTGCCTGGTGCCCCTCTGTGCCGGGGTGCCTGGTGCCTCCTCAGTGCCGGGGGTGCCTGGTGCCTCCTCACAGCCAGGTGCCTGGTGCCTCTCTCAGTGCCGGGTGCCTGGTGCCTCTCCCCAGCCGGGGTGCCTGGTGCCCTCCCAGTGCCGGGCCTGGTGCCCCTCCCCAGTGCCGGGAGCCTGGTGCCCTCTCAGTGCCGGTGCCTGGTGCCCCTCCCGTGCCGGGGAGCCTGGTGCCCCTCCAGTGCCGGGAGCCTGGGCCTCCATTGCGGGTGCCTGGTGCCCTCCAGTGCCGGGGAGCCTGGTGCCCTCTCTCAGTGCCGGGGTGCCTGGTGCCTCCCCAGTGCCGGTGCCTGGTGCCTCCCCAGTGCCGGGGTGCCTGGTGCCTCTCTCAGTGCCGGGGAGTCTGGTGCCCTCTCAGTGCCGGGGAGCCTGGTGCCTCTCTCACAGCCAGGGTGCCTGGTGCCCTCTCACAGCCAGGGTGCCTGGTGCCTCTCAGTGTCGGGGAGCCTGGTGCCTCTCTCCAGTGCCGGGGTGCCTGGTGCCTCCTCAGTGCCGGGGAGCCTGGTGCCTCTCTCAGTGCCGGGGAGTCTGGTGCCTCTCACAGCCAGGGTGCCTGGTGCCTCTCTCAGTGCGGGGGTGCCTCGAGCCCTCTCTCACTGCCAGGGTGCCTGGTGCCTCTCTGCCGGGGGTGCCTGGTGCCTCTCAGTGCCGGGGTGCCTGGTGCCTCTCAGTGCCGGGGTGCCTGGTGCCTCTCTCAGTGCCGGGGTGCCTGGTGCCTCTCTCAGTGCCGGGGTGCCTGGTGCCTCTCTCACAGCCAGGGGGGCCTGGTGCCTCTCAGTGCCGGGGTTCTCGTCCTGCTGCAGCTGGTTATTTCCGGGGTGTGGCTGAGCGCCCCCCTTAACTTTCAAAAACTTTCTTCAGTAACGTCAATATGTGGGCGGCGGGCGGGATTTACTCTGCTGATGTGGTTATCATTGGTTAATTGGTTTATGTGTGTGTGTGTGTGTGTGTGTGGGTGGATGAGGTTGCCGGCGGGTCTGGCAGCGGTGACAGAGGTTCGTGCGGTGACCATTTTTCGAAAGTAAAGATTCAAGAATGGAAGTATTTACAAACTCCAGCTAACACATCCAAAATGACGGTCAACACAGCCTCAATATTACACAGGTGACTTAACCTTACCTGGAAAGATTATTATCGTGTTTTAAACTTCCAAACTGTTGCTAAGTGAATGAATCTAGTTAAGGTAGAGTCTCTGTTTAATTCCATCGTCATTTCGTCATTATTTTAAGAGTTGTGTAATATCTGGTATATATATATTTTTTTTTTAATCAGTTCAGGAAAGGATTTTTTTCCTCAGTATGCTACAGTGAGGCAGGTATGTCCTCACTTTACCATTTACGGGGGAATATTTAACCCAGGAACCTCGGAGAATCCATCTTTGTGTCGTAAGGTTAGGTGAGGCAGTTAAGTGCTTCCACAACAACTTAGCAATCTTACCACAACCACCCCCCACCACTACCACACTACCACCCCCACCACCACCCACACCACCACCACCCCCCCACCACCCCCCACCACCCCCCACCACTACACACTACCGCCCACCACCGCCCCACACCACCACACCACAACCACTTCACCACCCCCACACCACCACCCAATCACGAATCCAGGCTACCATGAGTTACCCAATTCTGCTTTTATTGATGGTTGGTCCGTGTGTGTGTAAGTTTCATCCTCCGTGTTGGAATCTCTCTCTCTCTCTCTCTCTCTCTCTCTCTCTCTCTCTCTCCTGCCAGTATGAACATCGTCCTGCGTCCCGTATTTACTGTACGTCTTGGGGCTTAACTGTGAGATTTATTTATTTTATTTTATTATTTATTTTTAGCTGGGAGGAGGTTTTGTTTTTGATGTTTGGAGGACTTTTTTTTTGTAGGTTTTAAGGAATTATTCTTTTTTTTTTTTAAGTTGGATGAAATTATGTTACTTATTTTATGGTTTGGGAGGCGAGGCTAGGTTAGGTTAGGTTCGGTTAGGTTAGGTGAAGTCCGTATTATTATTTTCTTCTTCCATTCATCACCACAGTCTTCATCACCACAATTAAAACCACAACCACTACCACAGCACCACAACCAACACAACCACCAACAGCCACACCACAACCACTACCACAGCACCACAACCACCACAGCACCATTAACAAGAGGTAAATCGGCCAGTAATTGTAGGTAAGCAAGGACCACCACCACCACCACCACCACCACCACTCCCTGCTGCCGCGTAATGACTTAGTTGGTTAATTAAGATTGAAATCTCTCTCTCTCTCACATTTTCGGCTTGGTTCTCATTTCCACTCCCGCCAACGCTTCCTGTCCTGTCCTCCTCTTCCTCTTCCTTCTCCTTATAGTCTTCCTCATCTTCTCTTCCTCCTCCTTTTCTTTCGCTCCTAATCTTCTCCTCCTCCTCTTTCTCCTAGTCTTCTTTTTTCTTCCCTCCTCCTCCTCCTCTTCTTCTCCCTCCTCATAATCATCCTTCCTGCTGTATAAATCCTCCATTCTGCCTCTTCCTCCTCGCCAGAGCTGACCTGAGTCTGTAGCGACTGTATGTATGTAACTGTGCCTGTCTGTCTGTCTGTCTGTCTGTCTGTCTGTCTCTGTCTGTTCTTTTCTGTCTGTCTTAATTCTTATCTATGCATCTGTCTCTTTGTTAACTGTATCTCTGAACACTCTATCTCTAACTCGTGAACGGGGGGTGTTCTAACTCGTGAACGGGGGTCTCTCTAACTCGTGAACGGGGGTCTCTTAACTCGTGAACGGGGGTCTCTAACTCGTGAACGGGGGTCTCTCTAACTCGTGAACGGGGTCTCTAACTCGTGAACGGGGGTCTCTATACAGTCTTTATACAAGGTGATCGAAAAGTCCCAATGCATCTTCAGTAATTACCAATACAGTAACTACCTGTATATACCTGCCTTGTTATATACCTGTTGTCTTTCTCACGGTAGATGTTGGGAAGAATATATCTACTTCTACTGGGACCATTTTCAATATGTACTCTTAAGTAGAAAAATGGTACGTATATAACATGTACGTATGAGAAGGGATGATAGTGTTAAGTAGTTGGAGGTGCACAGTGACTTTTCGATCACCTTGTAATTCGCGTGTAGTCATCGTCAGTATAGTGGTTCGAGGTCAGAGGTCACATTAGTAGTTGTTGTTGTTGGTTGTTATTGTCATTTTTATTATTGTAGTTTTGTTATTATTCTTGTTTTTTATGAATATTTTCTTTACTACTACTACTAATATTACTACTACCGGTATTATTACTAGTATCATCATCATCATTACTCCACTACACACATCTTTATCCAGCTTTATCTCACCTCTTCCCTATCTAGAAAAATACCAACTTTTTTTCCCCCTGTACACAATTCTTTTCTCGTTACAATGTTGTTGGGCTAAAACTGATTCATTTGGCTTGGTTGTCCTTCCGTTTCCATTTTTATATCTGAATCTCTCGTCGATGTTTTCAATATATGTTTGGTCTCGGGTCCTCATAGTATAGGGGGGGGGGTTGTTATTGGTTGTTATGAGGGTTGTTATTGGTTATGATATGAGGGTTGTTATTGGTTGCTATGATATGGGAGTTGTTAGTGGTTGTTATGGTATGGGGGTTGTTATTCGTTATGTTATGGAATTGTTGTGGTTGTTGTGAGGGTTGTTAGTCGTTGTTATGGTATGGGGTTGTTAGTGGTTGTTATGGTATGGGGGTTGTTATTCGTTGTTATGTTATCTGGGTTGTTAGTGGTTATGGTATGGGGTTGTTAATGGTTGTTATGGTATGGGTTTTTAGTGGTTGTTGTTGAGGGTTGTTAGTGGTTGTTACGGTAGGGGTTGTTATTGGTTGTTATGATATGGGGGTTGTTAGTGGTTGTTATGGTATGGGGTTGTTGGTGGTTGATATGGTTTGGGGTTGTTAGTGGTTGTTATTGTATGGGGTTGTTAGTGGTTGTTATGGTATGGGGGTTGTTAGTGGTTATGGTATGGGGTTGTTAGTGGTTATGGTATGGGGGTTGTTAGTGGTTATGGTATGGGGGTTGTTAGTGGTTTGGTTTGGGGGTTGTTAGTGGTTGTTGTGGTATGGGGTTGTTAGTGGTTGTTATGGTATGGGGGTTGTTAGTGGTTGTTGATGGTAGGGGGTTGTTATTGGTTATGGTTTGGGGTTGTTAGTGGTTGTTATGGTTTGGGTGTTGTTAGTGGTTGTTAAGGTATGGGTTTTTTTAGTGGTTGTTGTTGAGGGTTGTTGGTGGTTGTTACGGTAGGGGTTGTTATTGGTTGTTATGATATGGGGTTGTTAGTGGTTGTTATGGTATCTGGGTTGTAGTGGTTTATGGTATGGGGGTTGTTAGTGGTTATGGTATGGGGTTGTTAGTGGTTGTTATGGTATGGGGTTAGTAGTTTGTTATGGTATGGGGGTTGTTAGTGGTTGTTATGGTATGGGGTTGTTAGTGGTTTTGGTATGGGGGTTGTTAGTGGTTGTTATGTGTGGGGTTGTTAGTGGTTGTATGGTATGGGGTTGTTAGTGGTTATGGTATGGGGTTTGTTATGGTATGGGGGTTGTTATTGGTTGTTATGGTATGGGGTTGTTAGTGGTTATGGTTTGGGGTTGTTGTTAGTTTGTTATGGTATGGGGTTGTTAGTGGTTTTGGTTTGGGGTTGTTAGTGGTTATGGTATGGGGGTTGTTGTTAGTATGGGGTTGTTATTGGTTGTTATGGTATGGGGGTTGTTAGTGGTTATGGTTTGGGGGTTGTTAGTGGTTATGGTTTGGGGGTTGTTAGTGGTTGTTATGGTATGGGGTTGTTAGTGGTTATGGTATGGGGTTGTTAGTGGTTGTTATGGTATGGGGTTGTTAGTGGTTATGGTATGGGGTTGTTAGTGGTTTGGTATGGGGTTGTTAGTGGTTATGGTTTGGGGTTGTTAGTGGTTGTTATGGTATGGGGTTGTTGGTTGGTTATGGTTTGGGGGTTGTTAGTGGTTATGGTATGGGGGTTGTTGTTATGGTATGGGGGTTGTTATTGGTTTTTTTATGGTTTGGGGGTTGTTAGTGGTTATGGTTTGGGGGTTGTTAGTTTATGGTTTGGGGTTGTTAGTGGTTGTTATGGTATGGGGTTGTTAGTGGTTATGGTTTGGGGGTTGTTAGTGGTTGTTGTTATGGGGTTGTTAGTGGTTGTTATGGGGTTGTTAGTGGTTATGGTTTGGGGGTTGTTAGTGGTTATGGTTTGGGGTTGTTAGTGGTTGTTATGGTATGGGGGTTGTTAGTGGTTGTCATGGTATGGGGGTTGTTAGTGGTTGTTATGGTATGGGGGTTGTTAGTGGTTATGGTTTGGGGTTGTTGGTGGTGTTATGGTATGGGGGTTGTTAGTGGTTATGGTTTGGGGTTGTTAGTGTGTTGTTATGGTATGGGGTTGTTATTGGTTGTTATGGTTTGGGGGTTGTTAGTGGTTGTCATGGTATGGGGTTGTTAGTGGTTGTTATGGTATGGAGTTGTGGTTATGGTTTGGGGTTGTTAGTGGTTGTTATGGTATGGGGGTTGTTAGTGGTTATGGTTTTGGGGGTTGTTAGTGGTTGTTATGGTTTGGGGATTGTTGTGGTTATGGTTTGGGGTTGTTAGTGGTTGTCATGGTATGGGGGTTGTTAGTGGTTGTTATGGTATGGGGGTTGTTAGTGGTTGTTATGGTATGGGGGTTGTTATTGGTTGTTATGGTTTGGGGTTGTTAGTGGTTGTTATGGTATGGGGTTGTTATTGGTTGTTATGGTTTGGGGGTTGTTAGTGGTTGTCATGGTATGGGGGTTGTTAGTGGTTGTTATGGTATGGGGGTTGTTAGTGGTTGTTATGGTATA